TGGTATGGATCTGGATACAGAGCTGCCCAAAAATGTTTCAGCTATGACAACTATCATCTTCATTATCAATGAAGATCACAGTATGGCTTTACCTACAATGATAAACCAAGGTAGGAATTGGATTCTGTTGGAATTAAACCAGTAAAGGATCGTAAAATGATTACAAGTCTATATGATAGAGGTTTTCTTTGCAAGCCATTCACTCTTCCTGTATAAAAACTACCTTAATGTAAAAATTACCCAATTGCTATTCGTATTATTTTTAGATACTTTCACTCACTGCTCACCTTAGCTAGCACTAGATTATGGCTAGTGAAATAAGCAAGGTGAGCTTGCTGTGTAATTGAATTTCATAATAACACATTAAGAACATCAGAAAGGATTTGTCACAGACTTCCAAGCTAATGGGGCATTTTCTGATAAGCACCTTTTATTTAGTCCACTTAATTATAACAGACCAAAAAATTCCTACATTATAGTAAATTACAAGGTCACATACAAATTACCAGCCCAGTGACCTCGTTACTCAGTAAGAGTGATGGAGAGCAAGGATGAACAGGAGAAAAATAATGTTATCATATGATGACACCCAAGTGACAAATTAGAACCTCTACACAATGGCAGTAGTAGCTTCAACTCATGGTCAATGAACATGAAGAAAAATCTAAGTGTTATAAAAGACAAGACATTACTTCTTACGCCAATGATTTGGTTAACGTTTTTCCTTCTCAGCAGTAGCTATGGAAAGTACAGAGTTCTTTTTGTGATTTTTGTGTTTGTTTTAATGTAATATCAGATTTACAGAAAGGTTTCAAGAAAAGTACAAAGAACTCCTATATATCCTTCACCTGGAATCTCCAGTTTAAACATTTTATCACATTTATTCTCCCCCTATCTATCTGTCTATCTATCTATCATTTGCTTAGTTAGCTCACGAGCTATATCATCAGCTTTCTATTTAAACAAGAGTTGGCAAACTTTTACCATGGGCCAAGTCTAGCCCATGGCCTGTTTTTGTAAAGCTTGCAAACCAAAAATAGTTTTTATACATTTTAATGGTTGAAAAAATTACAACAGTAATGTTTCATGACACATGAAAGTTATATAAAACTCACATTTCAGTGTTTGTAAAGTTTTATTGGAATGTAGCCATGTTCAGTTGTTTATGTATTGTCTACGACAGCTTTTGTGCTATGATGACAGAGTTAAATATCTGTTATCTGCCCTTTTACAGAAAAGTTTGATGGCCCCTGATCTACAACCATGAGCTCATACTGATCTCTCTAATACTAATACAATACCACAGAGTCCTCTTCATCTTTCCTTTTTCCATGTTTGTAACTCCCTTCTTGACACTGAGGAACCTGGCTCTCATTAGCCTCAGTACATTTACTTATTTTCTGAACTACAGAAAACATGCCAAAAGTAGTCTCAGAACCATTAAGGAAACAAAACAAAACAACCAATAAAACACCCAAACCTACTCTCTAGGATCCTGTGTTTATGGTTCTTTTTATCTTCAGTCAAAACACCATGTTCACAATTTATTTAAGCTATTTCTTTTTCCCACCTCTTCAGTGTGGTTATATTATTCATTTCAAATACAATTAGTGTCATCTGCTTCTGTCTGTATTACATTTTAGGGTTTTTTTCCTCCATTCTTGTTGATTTTTATTACTTTTGTTGTCATTGAGTACGTAAAATACTGAATTCAGAAGTCAAAACTACACAGAAAGGCATATGCAGGTGAGAGTTACATTTCCCTTATCCCTTCCAGTCTGTTTCCACTCCCTCATCACTTCTGCCCATCCTCACTCACTCCTCTATCGTCAATCAATTTCATTAGTTCTGGTATCTCCTTTCTATCTTTCTTTTGGCAAAAAATCAGCAGATACGTGTTTATTTTTTCATTCCTCTTCTTTCTAGTAGAAAAGGAAGCATACTAAAATTACTTCTTTGCACTTTCATTTTTTTCAACTTAAAATACATGCTGGAAATCACTCCTAATAGTTATAGAGAGCTTCCTTCCTCATTCTGTTTTCATGGCCGCATAGGACTCTACAAACAGACGTACTGACATTCATCCCACCACTCTTCTGTTTGGGCAAGTTTTCGTCATTTTACGACCATTGCAATTAATGCTAAAATAAATAACTTTAGGCATATATATTTTTGTATACTTGGAGATGTATCTTCAAGGTAAATTCTTGAAGTGGGATTCCTGGAACAAAAGGTAAAGGACTACTTGGTTTTGTTAGATGAGTCTGCTCACAAGGGCTGTACCCATCAGCATTCCCACCAGCAACATCTGAGAGTGCTGGTTTCTCTACAGACATGTCACAATTCTGTGCCATCAAGTTTTTAATGCTTTCCAGTCTGAGAGATGAGAACTGATATCTTAAAGTAGTTTTGATTTCCATTTTTGCATTTGTTCTCATATGAACATTATGAGTGGAGCTAATTTTTTTCATATGTTAAGCCATTTATGTAATATGTAAGTGTATATATGTGTTTACATGTATGTATTATACATATTTCTCTGTCTGTTCATGTCTTCTGTCCTCCTATCAGATTTTTTGTTTCTTTCCCTTATTTTGTTATCTGTATTTGCTAATGATGTTTTTTGCCACACAAATGTTATCAATCTTTTCTTTTACTGCCTCTGTATTTTGAATCATAGTTAGAAAGCTCCTCCCTCCAACCAGGTTCTATAGAAATTCATGCATATTTTATTTCAGTCACTTGCATGGTTTCATTTTTCACATTTAGATTTCTGATCCATTTGGAGTTTATTCTGGTGTAAGGTGCATCTAGTTTTATCTTTTAAAAATGACTTTAGAATCCTCTTGACAAGCGGTGTCATTTTAAGTGATGTCACGTTAAGATTTAGAAGATTTTATACAACTAAGAAATTTTGATCAAAGCAACTCATCTATTTGGTTTTTTACTAAGTAAGCATTAACAAATTGTATTTTGGAAAAAAGGGTCCCATGTTAACTATAAAATTTGGAAAATATCAGGCTAAACAAAGCCAACCAATACATGTTTCTTGCAGGACTTTTAAGAGCCTTTTACACACTGTGAATCTCCGGGAAGGAGGAGGTAGACTATGTAGATTGCCTACCTGAACGCATCTGGAACTGTTACATCTTTTGGGATCATGAGTCCACAGAACACACCCTGAGAAGAGATGCTTCATATTATACCATTTTCCCATCCCGGTGACATTGCTTTTGTTTTGTTTTAAAATTTTAAAATTTATTTTATTTTTAATTTTTATTGAAGTATAGTTGATTTACAGTATTATGTTAGTCTCAGGTGTACAGCAAAGTGATTTAGTTATATATATTTCAGATTATTTTCCATTATAGGATTATTACAAGATATTGAATATAGTTACCTGTGCTATACAGTAAATCCCTGTTGCTTATCTATCTTATGTATAGTAATTTGTATCTGTTAATCCCACATTCCTAATTTTTCCTTCCCGCCCATTCTCTTTCCCCTTTGGTAATCATAAATTTGTTTTCCATCTTTGAATCTGTTTCTGTTTTGTGTATACATTCATTTATATTATTTTTTTAGATTTCACATGTAAGTGATACAAAATATTCATCTTTC